TACAACAAAACATTACAAAAAATATTAGGATAGCACAACCCCTTCAAGGATTAAATCTTAGTTTGCCCTCTTAGTGCCATTTTTGGGTTTTCCTTCCATACATCTTGTTTCAAATCAGGAAATAAATTTGCCTTTACCCAGTAGAAAGATCTATACTTAATGGGCTCTCCAACATCCTCTTGCTTATCTTGTTCTTTCCGAAATACTCTCTGATTTCTCCAATTTCATATAGTCCAAATGGTTGCAAACCACACCACCGTCCAGGCTTCTCTGAGAACCTCATTGCAGACAAGCCCCATATGTTGTTTAAAATGTCTTTGGACATCCACCCCAGCTGCTGAGTAAATACCCCACCAAGATAAACAATATGACCAGAGCTTCCAAGAAATAGGACATTTAAACAGCAAATGAGCCAAAGATTCTTCTTCAATTAAGCACAAATTGCATATGGTTTCCTTTTTTTCCTTGATAACTCCTCTCCTAGCTAGATTGTCTTTCATAGGACATAATAAGAAAAGTTTTTTATTTTTTATTTTTTATTTTTAAATAGAGTTAAGGAGATGCATGGTATCAGTGTCATGGGGTCCGGTGGGTGGTACCGTTGTATTTAAATGGGCAAACAAAATTGTACAGTAAGGGCCACCACTGCGCGCGGCTTAATTTGCATAAAAATGTGTTTTTTTTGTATGCCTGATGAGGAGTTACGCAATGTAGAATAAGTTTTTTTATATATATTTTTGTTTCATTTTGAAATCACTCATATATGTCAATATGTATTCCATTTTAAAACTTATATAACAAAATTCTGGGTGAGTCACTCACCTTAGGACACTGTTTGTTGAAATGTTCCTTTCAGTTACTTTTAATTTGCAGGGGCCAGGTACCAAAGGAAGGCCAATTAAAGTTATTGCCTCTCTGTGTGGATTGGAATCATTCATTAGGTACATAGGAAGGACTGTGACCTGACAAAGGCAATTTATTTTGTTTATCAAGTAATATATATATATAGTATGAAATTATTTATATATTATATTTATATAAAATTTTAATTTTTTTTTATTTTTAATTATTATAATTTATTATAATTTTTTTAAATAAAAATAATTATTTTTAATAAATATAAATAAATAAATAAATAAAACCCAAAAGTCAGGGGACAAAAGTCTTAGGGTATTGTTGGGTTTGGGGGAAATATAGCGGAGAGGGAGGGAAGCATGCCCTTAATTAACCTATTCTTTCTTTCAAAAAGGACCATTGATTTTGTTCGGTACAAGAGAGAAGATTATCGGAAATGGTTGTAGTAATAGGATACCTTGATGAACACAAATTCTTTTCTTTTTTTATTTTTTATTGTTTTAGTATATAGAAAGTAAGCTGTTTAATATTAAAGGAGTTTGAACTTTTGCCCTTATTTTTAATTATGTATTTGGATTAAAAAAATGAAAATAAAAAAAAAAAGAGAAGAGGGGAAAGGAGTGAAATTTTTTTTAATTGATTAAATTATAATATTTAAATCTTATAATTTAATTAATTAAAAAAAATTCTCTCTTCTTGACCTTTCCCCCTCAATATTATAATAAATTAAAGCTTTTAAGTTAATATCTTGACCAAGTTATTGTTAATACAAATTCCTTGTTTTATTGCACTTGGCCCTTGAGGCCTAGTAACATTAATCACCGGTGCATTTCCTTCCTCTCGCGGCAAAGTTCAAAATTTGCTCATTGTAAAATATGTTAAAAAAAAAAATTCCTTGCTTTATTCTTCCCTACCTCTCTTATTTATTTATTATTATTATTATTTTTACACTTTTTAACTAGATGCCTTGTGGTGGACCCTCAATGTTGGGTACAATGTTCATATAATCATTTGTCAGTTGCATACAATATACGTGACATTATATAAATGAAAATATATTATTTTGACTTTTAGGAAACACATGTTTTTACTTCTCACCAAACACATTAATTCACTATAAACTCCAAATACAAAGAAGAATACCACGAGATTGTGCGTATCATTATTGGTGGTGGTCTGCTGCTCAAATGTTGCTTTTTTTTTTTTTTTTAATTAAAGGTATAATTGGATTAATAATTGAAAAGCAATTATAATACAGAGTATACCATGTTATATAAGCTATGCAAGAGAGATAAATAAGTTAGGTAAAACTTATAATACTAATATAGAGAGTTTAGTGCTCCATACAAATAGAATAATTAAGAATTGGAAACCTTTAAATACTAGTATATGTTATAAGGACATTAATAGAGTTATGTGATAACATAAAAAAACTACATTGGAGTTTACAATCGCTGTTGGTAATCACATTTATTTTGCCATCCAAATTTAGCACGGGAGATTAGGGGACTTGGCGATACGGTGTCTCTCGACACCACAATGCTCCGTCCAAGCAAAAAATACCTAGTTTGTTTCATGTTCAAGTGGCCGACAAAAGCAAAACCAGTGCAAAAACAGACACTTCCTTAGAAGACCAACAACACTAGAACCAGAGTCATCCACAGCATCCTTGTCCTTCTGTATTCGATTATTGGATTGAAAATTGGAGTGCACTAGGTTCTCTAATATAGGTCAAAGGATGCCACTGCATTGCCACAAATTGGAGTGCACCAGGTTTTCCGAATGCAATCCCTACCAGGATCCCATCCAAAATTGAAGATATGTTGAAGTGAGATTCTGATCCGGTGAATAAGAGAAACCCAAACCCACTAGCGAGATCATATCCCTTGACATTCAGTCACAACCTTCAAAAATCGATAGCAAATGTAAATTGAAAGATGCCACTACCTTGTGGTCCCTTGGGTTGAAGTTTCCAAAACAAGACAGTCGACTAAGAGGAAGGAAGAAATCAAGAGGAGGAAGGGAAGGGAAGAGAAGAAGACAGGAGAGAAAGAAGAAACTCCTTGCCGGAGAGAAATCCTTAAAAGAAACCCGTAACCGTTGCCCTCAACCCTAGGCAGAATATGAGAGAAAAACTTGATTCTCAAGTTTCATGTTAACTCAAATGTTAAAAATATTTTTACAATTAATCTGATTCTGACACTGTTAATTTCGCAACATAAAAGTGGTTTTCATGATTTTTTTTTTTTATAGTTTGAATATTAAAGTTATTTACAAATTTTTAATAAAATTATCTTTTATATTTATTCATTAATAATTTTTTTTATAATTTTAGTATTACACTGTATAAAAAAAATATATAATTCATACTAAAAAAAAATATCTTTCCCAATTACGGAGTACCCAATATTTTTAAGTGGTTTCTCAATTGATCGTGAATTTGAGGTGGGCTGCACGTCGACACAATGAGATCCATGTAGATGGAGTTATGGGCCGCAAAGTGGCTATAGTAGGACTAGCCCATTCCACCATTATCCCTGGGCTAGGCCTAGATCAACCTTATCTGAATTTCATGGCTCCAGCTTGGGTTGGGCTAAACTCCAGAGAAGAATAAAAGGGAGGCGGACGGAAGGAGGTAATTCTCCGAAACCAAAGAAGTCTCAGTTCCTTTGCATGTCTTCTCTTGGATTTTTCTTAAGCTTTGGGGAAAATAAAGTTACTTCCTTTGATGGATTCTTCTTCTTAATTTTTTTCTACTTTATACCAACAAATTTAAGTGCAGATTCTCTTACCTGATTCCCTACAAATACAGTCTCATTTCCAACTATATTTCATTTTCTCCCCTCAATTTTTTTTTCCCTTTTTCTTCCAAAGGTAAGAACTTTTGTTGATTTTTCTTGCTCTTCATCACCTGGGTCTGGTTGTTTTTCTAATTTCTTGCAGTCCCATTATTGGTTCAGTAATGGAACTGAATTTAATTTTCTGAGGTGGTCAGGGTGTTCTCTTTCTTCTTAATTTGAGTCGAGATTGAAATGAAGGGTTTTGATATGGCTAAATAAATAAATAAAGGGTTTTGATTTCTGGGTGGTTTTCCTTCTGCTGATTAATGTGATGGGCTGCATTTGATTTCATCTGGGTTTGTTTTATTTTTGCAGGTAGCTTGGTGTCAGTTCGAAATTTCTCAATTTTTACAATCAAAGTCGGTGTTTGAGGAGACAGTTACTCCGGGAAGCTGTGCATTGGTGATCCAAGAGATTGTGCTTTATTCCTTGATTCAATCAGGTCAGTTTGTGGCTTTATGTAGTTTAACAAATTAGCCAAACTCGATTTTAGAGAATTTTTTTTTTAAAAAATTTTTATTTTATCAGGCCTTCTGTTGAATTCTATTCTGAAGTAGTTTTTTGGGATCGTTTAATACTGCTTAATTGTTAATTCTTCTATGTTCTTATATGAAACTTTGCCGTGAGAAGATAGGGCTTTTCATTTCCAAAATTTAGGGCAGTGGTAGGTAATTTATCAGAGGTTTGGACTGACATAAAAATGACTGTTTTATGAGCTGAATGTATTTAGATTTTGATTCATGTTCACAGAGTTGTGTGGATTTTGCTTGCATATTACATTCTGAACTAAAATGGAAAGTTTCTGAAGAATATATGAACATCAAACTATATATACTCGGATTCTGTTTGGTGATATTGTATGATGAAATGACTGATTTGGGAAGGAAGATCCATTTTGGCAGCTACTTTTAAGTTTTAACCAAATTTAGAAGAGAAGAATATGTTTTTTGATCCCAATAATGGTATTAATTAAGGTAATCGGGCTGTATGGATATTCTATTAAATGAAATGCTAGTAGTGTGAGCGAAAATGATTGAGGGACAACGTTTTTTTTACAATTTTTTCATACAACCTTATATTTCTTTTAATGATTGGCTTTTTTCACTCTATTGAGGCTCATGATATTGTATGCATCCACTCATTTAATGATATGTAGAAATTGTAAATAAAAGTTGTACAAAAAGTTTGTACATATATTGTTGGTACATTAGTCTAGTTTGAGGAGTTCTATGACATATATTATCAGCATAGCTGTTCCTTGGTTGGATGCTGGCGTGTATTATTGTCTCTTTAATTGTAGTGCCTAACACAGACTTTCTTCAAGAAGTTTTTATTTATGTATTTTTTTTGTTGGTGAAATTAACGCTGGCCTATGTGTTCTCTGCCTGGGTTATACTTCTCTTTGTCAATGAAGCGGTTTCAACTCTTTGTTAATGCTCCTTTGTGTTTTAAAGAGAGGCTTTGTTGATTTTGCAGTCTTTTCTTCCTTTTATATACATATAAAACTCGTTGATCAAGCATGGTGATTGCGGTTTAGCTTAACACACAATTTTGTTTTTAGGCTAGTTTAACCACTAATACAAGAAAGTAAGAAAAAGGTATTAAGAAATTTTGGTTTGCTGGAGCACATTTTGGATTCAGTTGCTTTCCTCTGGTTGCATGAAAGTAAGATCTTTGGTTTGGTTCAAGAGACACTGAAAATCAAATAAACTAGCTGCTAGAATTTAGCAAATAAAAAAATGATAGAGATAGAGAAATAGCCCCCTGGCATCAACTCTTTGGAGCATTATACACCTTAAGTACACTATTTTACCACAAAGTGCCTCTAGGAGCTAAAAAATGCCACATCCTTTCCTCGAAATCTCAAATAATTTAAGTAGACTGCTTGATCTTTGCCAGCCTATGAAAATATTACGATGAGGAAAATCACAATCAATTTGGAGACAAGTATCAACCATGAACAAATCAAACAAAAGTGCTGAATTAATCAGCCCCGTAAATAAATTACACTATTATTTCATTGCTATTAATAACAAATTAAACGATTGAGGAACATAATAGTCTCTCTAGAATATGTTCACATACTAGTCTCTGTTTCTAATAGATCTTGTATTATAAGGAGCCATTCTACTCTTCACACAGGTATAAACTTAAGTTTTGAGGAAAAGGAAAGAGGGTCTTGGAATGGTGGCCACATGCATCTTAGTGAACTTTCACAAATTTGGATGCTGAGAGATTTATTGGTGTTGTTTATTCTAATTAGCTTGATGATATACTTTCCTTTTAGGAGAAGGCTTGAATGATATGCTTTCAGATCTCATAGTCATGCCTTGTTGTGATATCACGCACTAGCTTCTTTTTCTCCTTTTGAAATATAACAACACCATTCTGAAATGGTTAGAATATAAATAATTGTCATCTTCCAGCCTCACTTGTGTTGTAATATTTCTTTGTTTATGATTTGCCCTTTCAGCCTCTTTCATCTGTTCTCAATATGAACAACCAGTATGGAAACAAGCAGGTAAGTCATCTAAACCTGTATGATCAATTTTTTGATTCTGGAAAACCAAGCAGATCTTAAACATCTGGTCACTGTACAGGATGAAGCGACAGTCATGGGCTTTGAAGTTCCAAGGTCACCTGATTCAAGTTACAACAATGTCTACCCTGGCAGTGAAGATGAGGCACGTGATCCACCAGTTGTCCCACCACACCTGCACCACCCCTTACTTAGCTACCCAGCAAGCAGGGAAACTCCTCCCGGAAGTCTTCCATTGCCACAGAATGTGATTCTAAATCATCTTTATATTGAAAACAGAGAGACACCAAGATCTGTAGTGGCACTTGGATTCACTCACCGCTTTCGTTCCAAGTACGTTACTGTTGTGCTATACAAGCCAGTTCCTAGGAGAGGGAGTTCGAGTAATTAAATGAGTATAGACCATTACTAGGACCAGGTGTTATCTCTTTGTGATTGAATTAGTTGTGATAAGATGCAATTATGAAAATTAGCAGAAGGAAATATTTATTGTTTGACAGCCGATGATGACCTTAGGATTGTTTTTCATTGAACGTGAAGTACCTTCGACTTGAAATGCCATGAGGATAGAGCTGCCATACATATTTGTTATCCTGGGGTTCCCTTGATTATTGCCTATTTGCTTGTACCGCAATATTTCCCTATGTTGATGAGCATTACTGCTATCTTCTGATGCCTGTGTTCTGTTTAATTTTTCATCTAGAATTGTTTTTTTTTTTTTAACTTCTTCTTTTCAGGTGCTTTACCGGTAATTGTTGTTCTTCAAAATTTATAAGATTTGTTAAGGCAAAGGGAGTAGCTATTAGTAAATATTGATTTGAAGCAATCTTTCTCTGATTCTTAGCTCACATGTTGTGTGATTTCAATTTAGAACGTTGCAGAAAAAAAAAAATTTCTAGATTACAAAAATATTTTGTAGTTTAAATTATATTACATTATGTAATATTATTATTAAATAAAAATTAAATTTTTTAATATTAAAAGTTTATTTTTATTCAATAATTCTTATTTTATGATTTAAATTACAATTTAATGTAATTCAAGC